TTTTCCCTTAAGATGTTATCTAAAGAAAATAAGAATGCCCCACACTCTATAATAACTAGACTGGTATTATCAATTATCAATCTTATTAGCTCTTCTCTATAGAAAGGAATAACTAAAGAGCCTATGTTCTCTGTAAAATATTCATTCCTTCATACCAACTCTTCTCAAGGGGGCTCCAAGAGAAAATTAAGCCTTAATGCCCTAACTAATCCATTATGTGTGATGAATTAATTTCACTCAAATCTTTTTCTGCAGGGTTTTCTATAGGGTTTAACTAACATGAAACACTGGTTGAGAAATGCTGCTTTATACGATCAAAATTTCCTTTAATATTGGGAGCATAAAACTCCTCGAAGAAAACACAGGCAGTAAGCTCCTTGACATCCATCATAGTGATGTTTTTTGGATTTGACACCAAAAGCAAACACAACAAAAGCAAAAATCAACATGTGGGATTACATCAAACTAAAAAAAATCTTCTGCACAGCAAAGGAAACCATCAACAGAATAAAAAGACAACCTACGGAATGGAAGAAAATATTTGTAAATCATGTATCTGATAAGGGGTTAATATCCAAATACATAAAGAACTTAATGGAAAAAACAAACTAATAAACAATCCAATTCAAGAATGTGCAGAGGAGTGAACATATATTTTCCTACAGAAGACATACAGATGGTCAACAGGTACATGAAAAGGTGCTCAACATCACTAGTCATCAGGGAAATGCAAACCATAACCACAATCAGATATAATTTCACACCTGGTAGGATGGCTGTTATCAAAAAGACAAGGAATAACAAGTATTGGCCAGTATGTGGAGAAAGGGGAACCCTTGTGCACTGCTGGTGGGATTGTAAGTTGGTACAGCCACTATGGAAAACATAGTTTGGAGGTTCCTCAAAATATTAAAAAAGTAACTACCACACGATTCAGCAATTCCATTTCTGGATATTTATCCAAAGGAAACAGACGCTAATTTGAAAAAATATCTGTAGCCTCATGTTCACTGCATCATTATTTACAATAGCCAAGCCATGGAAGCAACCTAAGTGTCCACTGATGGATAAATACATAGTGAAAATGTGGTATACAGGCACACCTCATTTCATTGCGCTTTGTTTTATTGCGCTTCACAGATGTTGTGTTTTTTACAAATTGAAGGCAAGACTCTCCACAGGCAAAATTGTGGTGGTCTGGAAACAAACCAGCAAAATCTCTTAGGTATACCTGTATATATACGATGGAATATAATTCAACCATAAAAAAAGGAAATCCTGCTGTTTGCGACAACATGAATGGGCCTTGAGGGCATTATACTAAACAAAATATGTCAGGCAGAAATAGACAAATATTATATCTTACTTATATTTTTTCTCAAAAAGAAAACAAAACTCATCAAGAGAACAGACTAGTGGTTGCCAGAGGAGGGGGACTGGAGGTGGGTGAAATCTGTGGTCGAAAGGTATCAACTTCCAGTTATAAAATGAAATAAATAAGTCGTGCGAATATAATATACAGCATAGTGACTACTGTATTGCAGATTTGAAAACTGCTAAACCTTAAAAGTTCTCATCATGAGTAAAAAAACTTTGTAACTGTGTGGTGACGTTAACTACTTATTGCGGTGATCATTTTACAATACTCGTATATACATATATTGAATCATTATTTTGTACACCTGAAACTGTCAATTACATTTCCATTAAAAAAATAATTTAAAAAATCTGCTTAACAATGTCCCATGCTTTTTCTTATATATTCTCATTTAATCCTCAGAACAGACCTGAGGTTAGCATTACTAACTTCAATTTATGGGTGATAAAATTAAGGCTCAGAAGGATTATGTTACAAAATTAAAAATAAAATAAAATATTGGGTACATTGTTAAATATTAAAACAAAACAAAACAAAAGAAAAACTCTTTCTTTACTAATCATTCTTAGATACACGTTTCCTCCAAGAATTTCAAAAGGAAGAAATTGTTAAACAAATTGATTACTTAGAAGATTAAAACAATATCTATTATCACTGTTTTTACTGTCCCTAAGTAGTACTCTTACCTCTGGAGGTTTCATATTCAATACTTTTGTGATTCGGCCCTGAAAATAAATGACAAACTTACTACAATGATAACAAATTACAGAAAGGGTAACCAAAAGGCATACATGTTTATCTGCACTGAAGCTACTGTATCCTAATATACCGATCTTTTGCGAGTTTTTTCTTCTTCTGCCTACATGAAAAGATGTTTCTTTTATTTGAGACTGAAGGTATCTTATAATTCTAGAATTTTACTATTCATTTTCTTACTTACCAGTGATACAAATTACAAGAGTTATCAAATGCTACAATGTTAACTCAGAGAATATTTCTGCAATAGTTAATACTAATGATGTAGAAGTCTCCAATTCTAAAACATATAGGTGAATCAATACATTTTAGCATAACTATTGAACATTTTTTGACTTTTTAAAAAATGATAGCCCTCCAAGATAATTTCTAGAAATAGACTACATACTTCCAGGCCTCAAATAGGATAGTAAAATGTCTTCTTTCAGGCAAAAAAATCATCAAATTCATTACCAAAAGAAAAAAAAAACCAAACCCCTTCAAAAAACTGCTCCTCAACTCTGAGAAAATCGTATTACTGAAAAGTTAGTTTCATCTGAAGTGTAAATTTCCAGCTTTGAGGCTGTGATGTAGGGAAAATAATTTTATTTTGGTCCAACCAGGATCCTGCTCTGACTTTCTCAAAGTACAGCTGGATGGGTCAAGTGAGATAATGTAAGGACAAGATAACATTAGGCCTTATTTTTCACTTGAATAAGTCTTTAAAGAAGAAAATAATTTAAAATTTACTATGAAATAATACAATACTTTAACCCAATACTTTAAAAGGATATACTACAAATACATTTTTAAAAAATACTTTTTATACTGAGTATATATTGTTCTTCTAGCAACAAAGTAAAAGTCAAGGAAAATTACTTCTAGATGTTCTTCAAAATTCAAAAGTATACAATACTAGCTAACCCACATTTCTTAACAGGTGTCCAAACACCAGCAAAAAAACAAAAGGAAAATCCAAAAAGAAGCTCTTCACCTACTGTAATAACTTAAAAAATAAAAAATGTCAAAACCATTACCAGAGAGATATAAGGATCACAAATACATTACCTGCATGATGAGAAAGTGAGGGTTGTTAACATTAAGGCCAACAGAACAAAAGAGGTCCTGTACTCTGGTGTTGTTTGCATTTACTCCATTGATTAAATATTTATTTCTGCCACCAATAACCACCTAAAAAAGGAAGTATTTTAAAAGATAAAAACACACACATCTTGAGCTAAGATGACAAATTCCCAAATATATTATCTTAACATTTGTTTGTTCTGTCCAACTAACGGTAAAACCAATTCTGAGTAAACAGTGGAGGAAGTGTGACATGGTCAAAAAGGATATGAGATTAAGTTAGGACACCTGGCTTCTAATTCAAAGACTTACTAACTAGTTATGTCACCACACCTAAGGTCTCTGCATTGGACTAAGTCTCTAAGGTCACTTGTAGCTTTGTTTCCAAGTATGTGCAAACATATTTTCTATCCCTGATCACAATCTTTCTGCAATTTTTCCACACTCAGAGGTTAACTCCTCTTCCTCCACCTTTCCATTCCCAAAGGAACAAAAGTCAGATACTAGAAACTAAAGACAAGCAGTTTGATATCAATTCTTGACAAGATTCTAAAAGGGATTAAGACATGACTTGTGAATACGTGAACGAGTAATCATGGAGCTTCAGCATGGGTTCATTAAGGGCAACTTAAACCAGACACCAGCTTGTTTATACGCTACTATAGTACTTACATTGTCATTTATTGAGTATGACTGTCTCACGCATATTTTGAGGTCATTAAAGACAAGATGTTTTTCATTCTTCTTTCTTTCTGCATTTTCCAATGCATTCAAGAATGCCCAGTATACATCAAGCACTTAATATTGAATAAATGTTAATTCATTTCTTTTCCAGACATGATTAGGCTGATAGACAATATATTTGAATAACAGACTTAATATTCCCATAAGTAATTTGACAAAGTCTTTGTAACAAAATTTTGGTGGATACAGGCATATGGACCACACAAGGACAGAGATTTTAGGCAGATTAGCAGCAGACCTATGGAAAATTCCTAAAGGGTGATTATTTATCTCATGGATGCTTAGTAACACAGAAGCTAGTCAATGTCTGTTTGTTATGTTTTTTTACCAGAGGCTTTTATTAAAATAGAGGGAAATCTGTAAGTTACATATGCTAAGATGGAGATTAATGGGAGTTAGAATTTTAAAAATTAAAACTCTGACAAACTGAAAGCACTGTCTGACTTGACTATAAGAAAAAAGATTTTAAAAGACAAATGCATTCGTTTTAAAAAAACCTGCTTATGTACAGAAATGGCAATAACTTGGTTAATAGCACACATGGAAAGAATTACTGCGATTTTAAATAAGGTATTACGAACTCTCCAATGTCATATTGAAAAAAAACAAAATAAGAGTATCTAAAATGAAAGAAGTGACAATTTTGCTTAACCCTTACATAACTAGACCAATTCTGGTATGAAATTTGAGATGCCATGCATTGAAATAATAATAATAATGATAATAATAATAAAAAAAACAAGCACTGGAGTAAATTCATATTCAATGTGCTCAGACAAGTGAAAGAATTAGAAACAACTAAATTATCAATTGAAAGACCTAGTGAAATATAGCTTAGAAAATATTTAGACTTACAGAACACTTAAATATTGAAATATGGAATACATTAGATTTGCTTTTGGTGCTCTCAAGAGAACTAGGATTAATGTGTAAAACTTGAAGACAGCACTTTGGCTCAATTTATAGGAAAAGATTTCTAACTAGACATGTCCAAAATCAGAATGGGTTACCTCAGAGAGAGCAAGAACCCAACTACTGTTAGGTGTTCCAGCACAGACAGCGAGGATTCACATATGGTTCAAGATTTAAGCATGGTTGAGCTCTTATACTAAGAAATGATTTTTCAGATCCCTTCCAATCCTCTTGGTAAAGAGTAAAATTTGCATAATCAAAATTTTAACATCAGGAAGATATTCTTAAGGAATCTAGTCAGTACTTGATGCATCAATTTTGCTCATAAACTTTCTCCAGCAAAGTCACAGCACCAAAAAACACATCAGACATGCATGCTCTTAGGTACTCAAACATTTCATAGCCACTCACCTGCCTTGTTATTGTAATTTCATCATGGGCCTCAAATCCTAAAGGACTTTGCTTTTTGTCAGAATTGTCAAAGGTGATCGAGACTGAGGCCTTGGTAATACCAGCTTGTCCATTTTTGTAAACTAAATCTTGTAAATTAGAAGCCCGAACCTAAAAGAAAAGTTTATCAATTACAAAACCCCATACTGCACAAAATGGCACTGAAAAGGTTTCCCGCTGTTGGAAAACCACCCATATAGTATTATCCATCAAGTACCCAGGGATAGGCAGTTGCACACACAGGCAAGGAAAATGGGCAACATCAACTTAAAATGAATGCCTTTTTCCATAGGACTTTTTTGACCATGAATTGAATTGTTTTCTACTCATTTCTTAATAAAAGTTCATTTAAATGATTTAAGGGTAGACAGTGTCTAAGAATTTCATTATTCATCCAATTCCATTAGCAGATCCTGAAAAGATTATAATGGGGGGAAGGGAAGGCTCTGGAATGTGACTGCCTTAAAGTAAGAATGCCTGCGTTTAAATGTGATAAGAGGATGAACCTTAGGCAACTCATCTAAGTTTCTATTTTCTCACCTTAAAGATGGAGTAATAATACCTACACCTTTAAAGGACTGCAGTAAAGTGTAATTCACATAAAGTAAAAAAATACGAATATTGACAATAGTTTCCGAGTTCACTAAGAATTCCCTTTAGGTTCCCCAAACTTACATTCACATAAGTCAGAAAGTTTATACCTTACCTGAGACAGGTTGGAGATGCCCAGTAAAAAGCAGATGGAGTCCAATATGTTGGATTTCCCACTGCCATTTAAACCAGTGATAGCATTGAAGAGGGGGTCAAAACCATTGACTTCAGTCCTCTGAGCATAGGACTTGAATCCCTCAAGAATGATTGACTTAATGTGCATTTTTCACTACGGACGTGGACAAGTAAATCTTTGCTAGGAATCAAACAGGCCACAAAACAGTTCTGTACAAAACAGAAATAATAATACATAAGTGAAATGTAAACCTGGAATCATAGTGAATTGAAAAGACTAACAACAACAACAAAAAGCTGTAAGAATGGCAGCTCAATAAAAATAAAACAGCTAACTTGCCAAGCCAAGCTACTTACCTCTCATGTAAAGATTATATATTTCTCCAACTTAAAAACATACAAGAGTCGGTATCTGGGAGTTAATGAAACCATTAATTGAACCTGGAAGTCAACTACTTTTCCAGTCTTACCTTCCACCGTTATAAAATACTCCAGCTGACGGACTACTTATTATTTCACACCCCCTTTCCTTTGCCCATAACGTCCCTCTCCCCGATGCTAGCATGTCCCACTCTCATTTACTGCACTCACGTCTGTGCCCAAGCGTCACCTGAACTGCATGCAGTCCTCCTGACTTCGCTATATAAAAGAGCACCTATACCCATCCCCTTACTCTGCTTTCTTTTCCCTTCACTGAACTTAAAGCTGACACGAAACGGTCCTTATTCGTCTACCCAACTCATCATAATGTAAGTTCCTGAAAGATCTTCGCCTACGTCCACCGTTATATGCACAAATCGTGCCTGACTCAAGGGTGTGCGGGGAGGTGGGGGCGGTGTCAGGAGCTACTTAATAAATACATGAATACATGTTCCAGCTGTTTGCTTTCACTCAGGCTGTCCCCTCGCCTCACCAGGCCTTTCTGTCAACACTTCCTCGCCCTCCAAGGCTGGATAGGAACTAGCCGTTCTGCCAGGAGCCCTTTAGGGCTTGTTTTGGTCCGAGGGCCCTCCTGGCTACTCGCCCCCGCCACCCCGTCCCCATCTCCCGCCAGGAATGCCAGGCTAGGCCCAACGGGCCGCGCGCACTCACCCGCCTCACCGCCGTGTCCGGCCACCTGGGCCAGCGGTCTCCGCAAAGCTCTTCTTCGTTACAAGGGCGGAGAGCGGGCCACCTTGCCCGGCTTCGGGCACTACGAGGCGAATCCTACCATCGCGGCTACAAGATTCGCTCGCGGCTGTGCATTCCGGCCGGAAACATTTATACCTTTGAATTTCGGCGCGAGCGAAGGACCCCACCCCCGCTGCCTAGTTCATTGACTGGTGCCTTAGGAGATGCCTGACTTAAGGGGTTCCATTTTTTCCTCCCATCGAACAATCAAAGCGACAGGAAGATAGGACAGGGGTCACGACAATGGGAGCTTCGCGGGTGCGACGGCTCAGGCCTGAGGACTAACGGGGCCGGCGGCATATGTTGAGACCCGCATCCGGCACACATCGGGCAGCCCGGCGCCTCAGCCTCCGGGCCTAGCGCTTCGCCGGCCTCGCCCCGCCTCAGGTCCCAGCAGGCTGCGGGCGGCGTCCTGCAGTCCCCGCCTTCTCGCTGGCCTGGCGGGATTCGGTGATGCGCTCTGCTGTTGTCTGCGAGCGATGGAGGCAGGAAGGTCGGAAGCTTCAGCATCTCCCTGCGTTGGCTCAGATTCCTCAAAAAACGGAATCTGAACCTTTGTGGGGCTGAGGAAGCGCCGGCCTTCTGAGGACTCTGGTTCCGCCTGTTGCCAGCCTCGGATCCTGGCGGACCTGTTCATCCAAGTGTCCCGTCGGGATCGGACGGGTCCACCAGCTGCCAAGAGCCGTGCCGACCAGAGGAGAAACTGTGCGGGGCGGGTAGTACGTGCTGGACAAATCAGGCCTTCCTCTCCTTATGCTGAAAAGACGTGTACTCATAAGCAAGGGCACAATGAACATTTCAGAGAAATTTGCGGGGGCCACCTTAGGACACCTAGTATTTCCTGAGCGCTGTGTGCCAGTCTGGGTTTCAAGGGCTTTTAAAAAAATCCTCGTAGCAACACTTTGAAATCTGCAATACTGTCCTCGTTTTACACGTGAGCAAACGGAGTCACAACGGTTAGGCAACTTAGGCCAAGGAGCAAGTGGAGAAGCTGGGTTTTGTTCCAGGGCGCGTCCTCGTAAATGTTTTACAGCACTCTTCAAGGACAGAATCCAGTGCTGCTCACACTAGATCCTGTGTATTAGTGTGCGTTGTTCTTTCCACATCGATACTGATGAGTTAGCGCTTAGCTTCAGAGCGCAGCACTGTGGTGCCAACCTAGGTTGTGTACAGAAAGGCGGTGCTGGGCAGTAGAATATTTTAGGCCATATGTTTAAGGTTCCTTTCTTGGCCCCGGAGTGGGTTTGCAGTATTTGACACCAGTCTTACGTTACCAAGAACGGGCCAATATTCTGAAATTCTCTACCTAAGAGAGTGAATTTTGTGGGGTTTTTTGTTTGTTTAAGAATTCATTTATTGACTCTCATCCCGCCCCCTCCCATATTGTCAGTCATTACAGGCTTAACATCAGCTTAAGCAGTTATCTTTATCTACCTCAATTCCTGCATCCCCTACACTCCGCAGCTGTTCACTTGTATTGATTCTATCTAATCTTAATAGAATGCATTTATTTTTAGCGATGTCCCCTTCATCACTGAATGAAGAATTTTACTTTGCCAACAAACTCTAATGTGGATTTTATTAAGCTGTGAAATAAACCTTTCTTTGGGGTGAAAATATGTGTTAAAACATTATCAGCCTTTGCACTTATTTAATTACTTAATAGATTAATAACTGATATATTTAAGATACATGGATGAAAACATGCAAATACACATTTGCATTCTTTAAGGAAGACTTCTTTAAGAAGTCTTCTTAAAGACTTCTGGGTAGTTATAAGAATATACACATCTAAGTACTCGCACTAGAAGTATTTACTAAGATGAAAATTGCTTATAAAGGGAGAGCTCTATATCAGTTTTAGTGCATGCCGGAAACACTAAGGAACTGTTAGTACAGGTGGACTTGAAACCACAAGTGGCTGACTTCAAACTGCATCCTGAGCTCACAGGGAAGTGGAGAAGACCAAGGCACAAACCCGCTGATACCCCTCCACCTAGTTTGGGGAGGTGAGGACTGGAAAGACAGACTGTAGGGTAGATGTCATATACATAGAGCATTATTCTTGTTTTAACACTATGGATCAAACACTTTGGAAAGTTTCAGCTCTGGCAGGCTAGAGGAGCCTTAGTCCTTCTGTGCATGGCAGCAGCTCAAGTCATAAAGTGGGAAGCAGAACGAAGATTTGGTTTCCTCCTCTTCAAGGGCACTGGGAAGGACCCTCCACCCATGGAGCACTTTCCTAATCTTGGAGTCTTAAAGTAGCTCTTCTAGGAACCCGGGTGAATCCTCTCTCCCTAGAACTTATGACAGAGAAAAAAAAAGCAAAAGGGCTCCACTGGAGAAATAAGGAAAGGTTGATTCACTTTGTTGATAGATAAATTTTGGGTTCAATGGAATGAATTCATAATTACAGGAAGTTCATATTGTAAAGTTGTATTGAGTAGCAGCACATTTTGAATACACCAAGTATAACCTGTCTGACAAACTTGTACAGAAATGAAGCTGAGCATCATTTAAAATGAATACAAAAGGAGGTGATTATACTCATTCACCTGTGGGATCTGGTTAGGCCCATTCATTTTCATTTCAATGAGAATATGTTTTCAACACTACATGTTCTGTTTGGTTCTTTGTGAAATCCACCTATCTTTTATTATTTCTATTATTTTGCCTCTTTAATCAAGTTAAATATCTTCATTTTCTCTTTCAGGGACTTCTATTATTTCCAGCTGTTGAGTTCCTAACTTTACCGTTTACAACATTTGCTGACTCTTACTCATGGTGATTTATTTCCTCCTGTGGTGCTTTCCAGGAATGGGGTTGTTTATGGGACGGAGTCTTTTATGCCGAGGTGTGAAAGAGTCCCTTCAGAGCAGTTACGTGCTTGCTTCTGCCAGAGTTCTTTGGCTCATAAAGGTTCAGGAGGCTTGGTAAATGATTATTTCTGTTTGTGGTTCCTCAATTATGCAGATATTGTAATCTTTTATCAGTTGCAAGCCTCAGATTTTGATTTCTCACAGGTACCTTTTGTTTTTGCCCCTATCCGAAGCTCCAGGCAAAGAATAAACTTTTTTGCTACTTTCCTAGACTACTAGGTGTTTTTCCAGTCCCACTGACTGGCAGTTCTCTAAGGCTGCAGGTTTTACCTAACGGCCTAGTTTCAGCTCCTCTGCCTCACTGAAGCTCAAGACCTTGTGCTTGGGCCTTAAAACCCAGCTACTGTCTTTTAAGCCCTATAGCCAAGTATAAAATGTTGGAGGGCTGCCATGGCATCAGTTTCCGCTCTTCAAGTTTTCCTGCTTGTTGTTTTTGTTATTGAGCTTAGCATATAGTTTAAATAACAATAATTATATTTACCCAGGATGTCTAAGTTTATAAAGGGACGTTCAGTCAACCCCGTCGGAGGAGGTCTTCTCGTGTACTTTTTCGGAAGAACATCAGTGGTCTTTGTTTTGCTTCTGCCAAGCCTTTCTTTCATTCTCATATTCCATATTCAAAGTAGCTTTTCTGGAGAGAGAGAGAGAGAGAGAGAGAGAGAGAGAGAGAGAGAGAGAGAGGGAGGGAGGGAGGGAGGGACAAAGGGAGGGAGAGAGAAATGAGAACTCTGGTAGCTTTTAAAATATTTTCACTCACTACTTATAAAATCCAGTCTCTTATTTCATATTTGTTCTTCAGTGTTTCCAGCTCTCCTTGGCTTTTATCACTTCTGTGCTGGTAAATAGGCAAAGCTGCTCATCTCATCTCTGCTGCTTTCCCACACCCCTTCCTTTATGGTGGGGATTACCAGCTCCTCTTTCTCAAATGTTCTCGTTTCATTGTTCTCCCTGTCATCGTGATCCCTTATTACTTTTTATTTCAAATCCATACACTTCTGCTTGATCTTCCTCAAATTAGTTCCTTTTTATTACCTGCTCAGTTTTTACTAAACCCAAAAACTTCACTCTGATATTTTTTCACAATATCTGCCTCTTCTGTAATTAATGTTTCCTTTACCTGGACATTATTCTGCAGTCTTCAAATTCTGACTTAAATGTTTACTTCAACATTATTTATTAACCACCAGCCCGCCCTCTCTAAAGGTCTAGTCTATAAAATATCTATGTTTCTGTACCAGAAATATGATTGAATAGCCCCTTAGTGAAAATTAACTAAGAATTAACTCTAACTTCTTTAAGGTGACATGCCAGGCCTTTTGCAATTTATTCTCAACCTACTCTCCCAGACTCATCTCCTGCTGTTTCTTACTTAGATTACTATGTTTCGTTTTGGTTTTTGTGGTGGTTGTTCAGTACTGTGACCTAAGCATCAACCAATAATAACAACAACAAAAACTTATTGGTTGTTAATGAAAAGTGTTAGATAAATTTGTTAATGAATACATGAATGAATGAATGAATTCCTTAGGCACTTACAGAATGCCCACCTTATGCTAAGGATTGTGTTAGGTCCTGGGATACAAAGATAAATAAGATACATGCTTGTCACCAAGGAGTACATAGCTGAGTAGAGATGAAACATATAAAGACGTAAGCAGAGGAATTAAAGAGTGAAAGCTATTATGAATAGAGTAGATTGTACAGGCAAGGGCACAGAAGATAAACACAATATATGAGGCAAGAAGTAGCAAGGTTTAATGTGGGCAATGCACAGAAGCCAGATTATGGAGCAATTTTTGTGCCATCTTAGAAGTTTTGGTCATTCCTGAAATATGGATGTTCTCTTCTCCATCTTTGTGTCTTTGCACATGCTGAACTTGAAATGATCATCCCTCTCCCTGTCTTCCCCTATGTGTATTTCCATTTCAATTTCAAACCCTGAATCTGATCCATTCTGGAAGAATTATTTGCAGTCTCTTCTGTAGTACCTTACTCCTTTATCCAGATTTTTCTTTTGACCTCTATTCTTTTTGTTACAGACCTTTGTGACATGCTTCAGTACCTAGCACACAGTATACAATAAATATTTTTTGGATATGAATAAGTTAAGGGGGTTCATTTGCTGCTTTCTGATTAAGGTAAAGAATACATTAAAAAAAGAAAAAAAGACTTGAAATATGCTGAATATTGAAATATATGAT